CTAAAATCACAAAATACATAACACAAGCATGTCTTATCATTACACATTCAAGTGGCCATTAAGACTTAGCTTTCATTACATTGGTTCTTATTCCTTCTTATTACATTGCCTAACACACACACATACTTGCAGTCTCGAAACTTAGTACATTCTTTCCTTAGTGTGTTTCTAATCCATAACCTTATTACTATGGCTTAATTAAGGCTTAGGAATGCCTAAGATGCAATGAGGATGCCAAAACATGCCTTGGAACACTTAGGAAATTTTTTGAAAATAAGGTCCACGCTCAAGCGTAGCTTTCCTCGCTCGAGCGGACATGCAAAATGTGAATGGTCGCTCGAGCGCACATTCCTTCACTCGAGCGATCTGTAAAAGGCATGAAACTTCTTTGAGCTTGCAATTCATGCTCAAGCGGACTTTTGGTCGCTCGAGCGGAGTGCATGCACTCAGAGTGGTCGCTCGAGCGTGAACTCTCACGCTCAAGCGTAGATGCAAATTCTGGAATTTTCAGATTGCACCTTCAAGCTCAAAACTCGAATTCCAAACTTCAAAACACATGTCTTGGGCCCCAAAACTTGAGATAACATTTTAAACTTGTAAAACATGAAGAATTTAGGATCATTTCATAAAATCATGGCCCAAGGGTTTGTTAAAAACTCACAATTTCAACTTAAAACATGATGAATGTTCATGAATACAACATGCATGAATTTTTCTTGTATCAAACTTCTCAAAACATGATCAAACACCACAAATCAACTTGAAACTTGATGATTTCCCCAAATGAAGATGAATTTCAAACATGCATGAGAGAATTCTTGGAGTTCATGCTCAATTTGTGAGAAAATGTACATTAATGCATGAATTAACTCTAAATTCAACATCGTTGGTCCAATTCTTGTACACAACCACAAATTCTTCTTGAAATGATCTACTTGATGGTTAAAGGTCATAATTAAGTCTTAAATCCTTACCTAGAGTCTTCAATTAGCTAGGTAATTGCACAATCTTTGATCAATTCAAGCTATAGCCTTCAATTCTTCTTCAATCTCTTCCTTTCTCTCTTTAGAATTGTGCTCCCTCTCTCTCTAAAATGTTTCACTAGATTTTAGCACTAAGGGGCAAAAGGATTGAGCTCAAAAATGAGCTTAAGGCTCACATATAAAGCTATGATGCTAAAATACACTAATTAGAAAATAAGGCTTGCCAAACGGGACTTAACAAATCAGATTGAATCAATTTTTAATAAAATTTGCCATATGGTTCTAAAAATTCCAAATAACATATTGACGTAATCAATTTCGGTTTCGGATGCCGATAAAGCTTTCAATTTACATATTAAAATGAAATTCCAAACAAATATTTCTATAAGTAACATATAGAAAGCCAAAATCATACAAAGTGCAGAGTAAACACATAATTTATTTTAATCCACTCATTAACATCATTAAATACGGATTAGTGGCTAATTACGGATAGGGGTTGTTACAGTCGCCTTCATGGCCGACGTCCTTTCCTCCGTGGTTTTGGTCTTCGTTGCAATTGTCCTCTTCGACGTCAAGGTCAACAGGTCTCCCACTCCCAGTAGGAGTGATATCCCCAATTTTCTCCTTCTGTTCGTCGTTGGCCATCTATTATTCTTTCTTTTTCACAGACGGTGCCAAATTGTGTGAGTGAATTTCTGACCACACTGCCAACTAAGTATTCAACTGAAGAGCACTGGCAGAATAGATGGCGCCTGAGTGACCTGCAATAGAAAGAAGAGATTCCGGCGATGGTTCGTCCACCCGGGGGCACTCCGACGATCAAGTCAGTTATCTCTTAAAGATAGATCAAGTGCTTAACTCACTATTCCGAATATAAATAGCGTACCTTAAACTCATGGGGGTGCCTCTTTTTTATAGCCAACACAATCCTAGTCCAAATAGAAGTCTAGCTTCAATGGACTTCTGCTCAGTGCTTAGCTTGGACTCTCCAATAGATAAAGCGAAACTCCCTAAGAGCTTTATCCTTATCCAGGCTAAAATCCTTTCTCATTCTAGGACTCTTGTCCCTTATCCGCTTATCCTGGACTCCGATATCTTCAGAGATAACCTCGGCCTAACCGAGATTACCTCGACGTCATGACCAGAAACGTGGCACCCCCGACTGACACGTCGGTGTCACCTTGGCCACGTGTTGGTATTAAGAAAATATATCCTCACAAAAATTAAATTAAAAAAAAAAAAAACTAGACAATCAATTTTATCACCCAATCAGTCTAATCCAACTCACTTGCAGAATGTCTAATTTTTTAATATACCCCTATACATAACCACCCTTGCAAAAAGAAAAGAAAAAAAAAAAAAAAAAAACCAAACTAACACAACCTTAACACCAAAAAAAAAAAATCAATTTGAGGGAAATTCGAGGCCTTAAAGCATTATTCTTATAATTTTCCTATAGTGGTAACTATTAAGCACAGTCGTGACCATAACAGAACCGGCGCTAGCCGGTAAATACGGAGAGCTGCCTTTTTGACTTGCAACATCTCTTGTTTTCACATTTTCGTTTTTTTTGGCTCTATTTGACGAGTAGGTTTTGAACTATTTTTTTACTAAAATTTATAATAAAATAGATTAAAATAATTAATAATATAAAATATCACATCAAATTTGTAATTATTTTATTTTTTCCCACAAATATCACATTAAATTTGTAATTATTTCATTTTCTCACAAGAATAACCTAATAAAATAATAACTTCCCAAACACCCACTTTTATCTTTTTCCCTTAAATCTATCTTTTTGTTATTAATGGTGTTTTGGAAAGATGATAAAAAGTTGATTTATTTTTATTTTTATTTTTGTAACTTTTTAACTTTTTTTTTTATAAAAAATAAAAAGATGATATGATTAAAAAAAATTAAAAAGTTTTTTACGCCAAAACGCTCCTTATTTTTTTTAGGGATTTTTATTGATAAATCCATCTTAGAGTTGTTATAACCCATTAAGTTCACAAAAGAATATTATAACCTGATTAGTCCCATATACTTTTCTTTTTATTCCATAAAGTCCATTTTTCTAATTTTATATTTTTACCTGGACTATTATGCCCTTATATATATATATATTGTGTTAATACATAACACGTTTCTTGTGATTTCGTGGATTCAGTTTTGGCAGTTTCTATCTTTACGCTTTTCATCATCATTCTAATTCAAATGGATACGTTTCTATCTTGCATGTTCGTTCTGAGGCTTTGATGTGCTAGGGTTTCATTGTTACTGTTGTAGTCTGGTTCGGTGATTTTCAAGTGAAGACGACGAATTTGAAGGTGTTCGGTTCTCACATTTTCTGAAGCATAACTACTTTAAAGCAGTTGTTTTTGAGTTTCTGGACGATTGTAGGATTGCATGATTAAGGTTAGTATCATTTTGGTTATGAATACATGTTCACTTTATGTTTTGATTTGTATAATGGATCAGATGCTCTGTTTTTTGATTGATATGGATCGGATGCTCTATTTTTTCAATTATATGCATCATACATGGTCCTGTGGAGGGGAGGTCATTCAGATTATGTGAAGAATGTGTAGTTCTCATTTTACTTTGATGTATCCATAATGAGGCTCTGCGTGGTTGATATAATTTAGAGTATATGTATCAATGTGAATGTTTACATCTTGTTAATATTATGTGAAGAATGTGGATGTTCTCATTTTACTTTGGTGTTTGCTTAATAAGGCTCTATGTGAGTGACACAATTCAAAGTATATGGATCAATGTGAATGTTTACATCGTGGTCCTGTGGATGAGAGGTCATCAGATTAGTGATGAATATGGATCTTCTATAATTCAGAATATATGGAACAATGTAAATGTTTACATCGTGTTAATATTATGTGAAAAATGTGAATGTTTGCATTTTACTTTGATGTTTGCTTTATGAGGCTCTGTGTGGGTGATATAATTCAGAGTATATGTGTCAATATAAATGTTTACACCATATTAATATTATGTGAAGAATGTGGATATTCTCACTTTACTTTGATGTTTGCTTGATGAGGCTCTGTGTGGGTGATATAATTCAGAGTATATGTATCAATGTGAATATTCACATCTTGTTAATGTGAATTATGGATTTAACACACGAACTATACATGTAGTCATCTAATTTTTGCACAATGTGAATTTTCATATCGGTTTGGATTATTGTTGATTGTTGTATTGTTGCATTTTTACAGGAGATGGATACCTTTATGATGTTGGTGTGTACATATGGTTGCAGTACAACTGTAATAAATGTTGCCCGCGCATTGTGTTATTCGTGTTTGGTGGACTGTTTGTGTGAAAAATGGGGGGAGTTGTCTGCTGGTTCTATTTCATTGTTCTGTCGGTTACCTGCGATTAATAGGTGTGATTTGGACAATGAGGAAGAATTTCAGAATATGTTACTGCTTGCTAAATCAATGGGGGTACAACATGTAGAAGTTGTTGTTGAGTTGAAAAGTGATATTGGTCAGTCAAATAGCTCAGGATCGCTGCGTGTGGGGGTTGAGGAAGAAATTGATGCACTACAGAGATTTTGCCACCATAAGGAGAAGGTGTTGTTGTCAGCCCATTGGGCAAATGGTATTACGCATGTAGGACAACGGTTTGTTGGAGGTGCACAAGAATTTCGTGATGTTTTATGTAAGTATGTCATCCAATGTGGGTTTCAGTTTGCGTATGTGAAGAACGAGACAACAACAGTTACTGTTGTGTGTGCGATGCGTGAGGAGAGAGGCTACTTGTGGGTTATACATTGTAGAGTACAACGAGCAAATGATTTTTTGTACATCAAGAGGTTTAGTGATGTGCATAGTTGTGGTACGAATGTCCAAACATCGAAGAATCCGCGAGTTAGTTCAGATTTGGTGTCGAGTACCATATCTGAAATTGTGAGGGACAAGCCGTTGACTCGGCCGTGTGAGGTGGTGACTATTTTGAAGAGGGATTATGGGCTAGATGTGAGTTACCATGTCGTATGGTTGGGTGTGGAAAAAGCAAAGGCTAGTATTCATGGAGATCACTCATTATCATTTGACCAGTTGCGGTGGTATTCGGATGCTGTGATGCGGTACAATCCGGGGAGTTATGTCAATATTGACTATGATGCGAGTAGTCAACAGTTTTGTCGTTTCTTTGTGTCATTCGCTGTGTGTATTTCTAGGTTCAATTCTTGTTGATCTTTATTATTCCTGGATGGAACATTCCTCAAAGGAAAGTACAAAGGTCAGCTACTTGCGGCAACAGCGAAAGACGGAAACAATGGTTAGTATTTTTTTTAGCTGTCTATTCATGTCAATATTCACATTGAGCAGCATAGTCTGGACAAATAAGTGATTGAGAAATTATAAGTAATGTGAACATTGACATTAGTATGCACTGATGTGAATGTTCACATCTGTGTCTACTAATGACAGTAATGTGAACATTCATATTATTATACATTGATGTGAATGTTCACATCAGTGTATACTAATGTCAGTTGATCCATTAATGAACAATACTGTGAATGTTCACATTATCAATGGCTCAACAATCAACAATGAATTATTAATGGTCATTAATGTGAATGTTCACATCATTGATTTTTACGAACCCGAATCAAAAAATAACAATAGTAATAGGGCAATGTAGATATAAACATTCACATGACCTGTTTCGTTTATATTGTTTTCTATTCACTTTGGAATATTGTGAACAGTTGTGTATTAGTGTTGTGTTGTAGGTCTGTTTCCTGTTGCATTTGCGATTGTTGATTTAGAGACCACGGCTAATTGATCGTGGTTCTTGCATGAACTTGGGAAGGTTGTTGATGGTAAGCGCCAGATTACTGTTATTTCGGATCGTAATCTTGGTCTGTTAGAAGCTATGCCAAAGGTGTTCCCATCGGCTCATCACGGTTATTGCTTACATCACTTGAAGAGCAATTTAAGAGACCGGATGAAATGAATTGATAATGGATTCAGGGATCACCCAGTAAGTAGTTTGGGTGATTGTTCTTACGAGCCAACTGTAGTAGGGTTCCATGAAAAGCTTGCAAAATTAAAAGAGGAGGATAAACAACAAGCGCATAATTTTTTCAAGGACTTGGCACCTGAGCACTGGGCAAATTTATACTTTAGGTAATAATAGTTTCCTAAAGTGTTCCATTTGTCAAGTTTAGAATGGTAGCAATGTGAATTTTCAGTTTAGAATGGTAATAATGTTCCAATTGTGTTGCATGTTCAATGTAAATGATGTGAATGTTCACATCTGCTAATGATGACTGATGTGAATGATGTGAATGTTCATATTTGTTAATTTGTCAAACAGTCATGCAATTTGTTACAGATTTGAATGTTGACACCTGTCATATTTTGTTGTTGTTAACATTCACATTTGTCTATCATTTAAGTTGACAACATAATAAGCATATAATGTTCACTGCGAATGATGTTAATGTTCACATCTGTTAACGTAAATGTTCAAACCTGTTAAATTTCGTATTGTACAATGTTTGTGATATTGTGCAAGGGCATGCGTTATGGGGAGATGACATCCAATGCGGCGGAGTCATTTAATAACTGGATTAAAGAAGTACGTAATCTTCCTATCACTCAAATGGTGGATACAATTCGTACTCAGTTGATGTGACAAATGTCTGCACGGCGTGACCAAGCAAACAAATGAAATGAGCTTATTTGTCCTACATTCGAAACAATGCTTATGGATTCGTTCAATGACAACAGGTCTTAGCAAGTTAGCAAAGCCAATGAAGATGTGTTTGAAGTTCATTCGATACCATCTGTTACAGTTGATGTTGTGAGGCGTACATGTTTTTGCTTCAAATGGAAAATTAATGGATTCCCGTGTGACTATGCTGTTATAGCTATTCAGAAAAGCCACTACAATCTCTATGATTGTGCGGAACATTACTTTCATGTAGAGACATATCGTGCAGCCTATTCGGGTGCCATATTCACTATACCATCAGTGGAGAAGCTGCCTTTTGATCCCACGGACTACACTATATACCCGCCAACTGTGAAAAGACCACTCGGAAGGCCGAAAAAGAATAGGATCCCATCAAGGGGTGAGAAACTGAAGCAAATAAGATGCGGGAGATGTGATAAGTTGGGGAGCCATAATCGGAAATCATGCAAGGAACCAATATAGGATGTACATTTTTCATTTCAACATTGTGTTTTATATTGGATTCTTATATTCATTTTTTAAAGAAGATTGTGTTGTGTTGGCAAACATTGTGTTGCAATAAGATTACATTGCGTTGGCAAACATAATAATACATTAGTATTTGATTTGTGTTTTATTTTTAATTTTTTAAAGTACCAATCTGACATTTATGGTGTTGTGTTTTGGATGAATACATGATGTTAACATTCACACTTGTATAATCTAATCACATTATGTGAATAATTGCACATGGGTTGAACTTTTAAACATTTATGTGGTGTGAATATTCACGTTCTTGTTACCGTTAACAGCATCAAAGTAGATGACATGAACATTTACATCAATGTAACCATTCATATCATCAACTCATAAGATGTGAATATTCATGACATCGTTGCTGCCATTCAAATAATCAGAAGTTATGATGTGAATATTCACATCATCAAATTATTAGATGTGAATATTGACTTGTATTAAGAAATATCATATTCACACCTGTCATATTGTGTTACATTAACACTTTAAGCAATATTCACATCCATGTAGTATAGCTTTAAAAACTAAGAAAGTGTATGATCATTCTGTGATGTGAAAATTCATATCATGTCATGTGTCAAAAAAAAATACAATCTCAATGTGCATGAGCAACACAAAATAGGCCTCAAAGTGCATATACATATATTGACTGAAAAATATCTGTACAAGTAGTGATATAGACTTGATTTACAATTAAGCTAGTCTGCTCCAATATGTAAAATCTATTGACACTAAATTGTCTTAAATGTGGATAACAGATTTGGGTAACAGTGATAGGTGGACACCCCCCACCTATAGGTTTTCACATTGCACTGTCTTTCTGTGATTCAGAAAAAGGTGTACTAATGAGTCTCTTATTTGACACCATTCAAAGCGATCTAGGTTGGCAACAATTTCTTCACGGTATATATGCGCCCTCATGATGTAACAAACTGCAGGCCCGCAATCCACCCTGAAAATGCAAACTTCTAGTTAGATTTTGAAATTTAGGTGGGTAATAGTTGTGGAACATGTATACAAATCGATTTTAGGCTTACGAATCTGATGCTTGCTGAGGACAGATGTCTACTGATATGATTGGTTGTGAAGTATTTTGGCTTGGTAATTTGGTCCATAATGGTGATGATGGTCCGATGTTGCGCACCAAAGCCTCGATATAGTCCCTCTGCCAACAATGAAATTTCATATTAGGCACCAACCAACATAGAGCATACGTCCAAGTTCAAATATTACATATCATGACAAGTATTATATATGTCAGCCACTTACCACTATTTGTGTTTTGTCAATATATGGGTCATGTATGCTGGGTCTTGGGCGTAGCGAGTTATAATGCCTTCATACATTGTCTTTCACGTCGTACACAATAATCGTCTAGTGGAAGTTGTCGTGTGTTGGGAAGATTAAGAATCTCTGGCCTTGATACTCCTTGATATGTACATCAATCAGTTTATTTCTCTTGTGGGGGGGGTACTCTTGCATGATTTTCTGCACACAAAGGGCATACAATGATGTACCAAGTATTTATATCAATGTTCGATGTGAATGATGTGAATTTTCATATCTGCTAATGGTGAGTGATGTGAATGATGTGAATGTTCACATATGTTAATGATTAGTGGTGTGAATGATGTAAATGTTCACATCTGTTAATGATAAGTGATGTGAATGATGTGAATGTTTACATCTATTAATTTGTGAAACAGTCATGCAATGTATTACATATGTGAATATTCACACCTGTCATATTATGTTGTTGTTAACATTCACATATATGTATCATTTAAGTTAACAACATAATTAGCATATAATGTTCACTGCGAATGATCTTAATGTTCACATCTGTCAATGTGAATGTTCAGACCTGTTATTTTATGTTGTTGTTAACATTCACATCTGCCTATCATTTAAGTTAACAAAATAAGCATATAATGCTGAGATGAACATTCACATCTATTGAACATGCAAATCAAATACTGTTCATGTGAACATTCTCATCAACATGAAACATAAACAAACCAAAAGTCTAGTGGTTACCAAACATGCGCTTGTAAAGATGAAGGCTGAATCCTCCAAACTTGGGTTGACTAGCCCTTGTAGTTCAAGTAGAATTTCACCATATACATCTATCACCTACAGAAACAGAGGGGTAGCAGTACATTATTTGCAGTGTCTTTACAGTGTGTGTGTGTGTATGCGTGTTTTGTACACATTTACGATTGCCATATATTGTTGGTTATTGATTCTTCCTTGATGATGTGTATGATGTCATCAAAATACACATCTTTAGTCTTTGTGTCCCCTGGCCACACTAGCAACTTGTGCATTGTGATTACAAAAAACATTAATGTCAACATTGCACATTTATGAAATGATCTAATCTATTAAGTATGTATGTGAACTTAACATGAGCAAAAAAAAAAAAAAATCAGTTGGGGATATGTAAGATCGCTTACTCATCACCGCCGTTCTTGTGCAAATTTTGGACCTTCTGCTTGTTGAGTTTGTTCATGCCCAAACCTTCAGTTTGTTGTTCAATGTTAACTTCTTGTACTTTGTTGGGTGTTTTTTTGTGTGGATGCTAGTCTAAATCTTGTGCAATTTGGACTGCATGGGATTGCTTTTCAGCTCCTTTTTTCCCTTTCTTTTGACCAGGCAAGTTGGGGTATTTAAACTCATCCAACTAGTGCTCTTTCCTTACCTTCTGCTTGATGCGCTTTACCCTTGATGGTGGGCTGATAATGTGTTCCAATGCTGTGGTGGGATGCTTCTTAAGGCTGTCATGAGCCTTTTGTGCTTCAACTTGAGTGATAATGTGGACGGACTGATCGTCAAAAAGGTCTTGAAGAATTGTTTTTTCACATTCCAAGTTGATGACCAACTTTGTCAACGTTGAATTTCTGTATCTTTCCACTCTATGCAATTGTTGATGTCCATGTCCATATTGAATGGGCCCGATTGGTCAAATAGTTTGGCTTCAAGGGAAGCAATCACCCTTGCCCTCAACTCCCATGATTCTTCCAACTGTTTGTATTTCACTTCTCATTGTCGTACGAGACCCCAATCTTTTTGGTTTTTTTTTATAAGTACATCCACAATGTCCGGCTCACTTGGTTGTGCTATGATGATACCTCTCTCGGCATTGGGGGTGTTAAAGCTGGGGTTGATGCCATGTCCAACATCATTTAGGTCCATTGCATTGCCAGAAAATCCATCGATGTCGTCACTGCGTTGACTGTCTTTGCTTTTATCATCATTGCTTTCATTTTGTTTTGCTAGTGCACTCGACAAAACCTCATGTTTGCGCTCCATATTCAATTTTGTATGATGGTACATCTTCGCTTCAGTTGGGGATGCCATTAGCTCGCCGCCATATACCTGCAGTTGGAGACATTATGTTAGTTAGATAGTTCCTTGTCTCACTATGTGAATGGGCACAATATGTGTGTGTGTGTGTGTGTGTGTGTGTGTGTGTGTGTGTGTGTGTGTGTGTGTGTGTGTGTGTGTGTGTGTGTGTGTGTGTGTGTGTGTGTGTGTGTGTGTGTGTGTGTGTGTGTGTGTGTGTGTGTGTGTGTGTGTGTGTGTGTGTGTGTGTGTGTGTGTGTGTGTGTGTGTGTGTGTGTGTGTGTGTGTGTGTGTGTGTGTGTGTGTGTGTGTGTGTGTGTGTGTGTGTGTGTGTGTGTGTGTGTGTGTGTGTGTGTGTGTGTGTGTGTGTGTGTGTGTGTGTGTGTGTGTGTGTGTGTGTGTGTGTGTGTGTGTGTGTGTGTGTGTGTGTGTGTGTGTGTGTGTGTGTGTGTGTGTGTGTGTGTGTGTGTGTGTGTGTGTGTGTGTGTGTGTGTGTGTGTGTGTGTGTGTGTGTGTGTGTGTGTGTGTGTGTGTGTGTGTGTGTGTGTGTGTGTGTGTGTGTGTGTGTGTGTGTGTTTTGTACACATTTACGATTGTCATACGTTGTTGGTTATTGATTCTTCCTTGATGATGTGTATGATGTCATCAAAATACACATCTTTAGTCTTTGAGTCCCCTCGCCACACTAGCAACCTGTGCATTGTTATTACAGAAAACGTTAATGTCAACATCGCACATTTATGAAATGATCAAATTTATTAAGTATGTATGTGAACTGAACATGAGCAAAAAAAAAAAAAAAATCAGTTGGGGATATGTAAGATCGCTTACTCATCACCGCCGTTTTTGTGCAAATTTTGGACCTTCTGCTTGTTGAGTTTGTTCATGCCCAAACTTTCAGTTTGTTGTTCAATGTTAACTTCTTGTACTTTGTTGGGTGTTTTTTTTGTGGATGCTAGTCTAAATCTTGTGCAATTTGGACTGCATGGGATTGCTCTTCAGCTCCCTTTTTCCCTTTCTTTTGACCAGGCAAGTTGGGGTATTTAAACTCATCCAACTGGTGCTCTTTCCTTACCTTTTGCTTGATGCGCTTTACCCTTGATGGTGGGCTGATAATGTGTTCCAATGCTGTGGTGGGATGCTTCTTAAGGCTGTCATGAGCCTTTTGTGCTTCAACTTGAGTGATAATGTGGACGGACTGATCGTCAAAAAGGTCTTGAAGAATTGTTTTTTCACATTCCAAGTTGATGACCAACTTTGTCAACGTTGAATTTCTGTATCTTTCCACTCTATGCAATTGTTGATGTCCATGTCCATATTGAATGGGCCCGATTGGTCAAATAGTTTGGCTTCAAGGGAAGCAATCACCCTTGCCCTCAACTCCCATGATTCTTCCAACTGTTTGTATTTCACTTCTCATTGTCGTACGAGACCCCAATCTTTTTGGTTTTTTTTTATAAGTACATCCTCCACAATGTCCGGCTCACTTTATGCTATGATGATACCTCTCTCAGCATTTGGGGTGTTAAAGCTGGGGTTGATATCATGTCCAACATCATTTAGGTCCATTGCATTGCCAGAAAATCCATCGATGTCGTCAC